TTACACCCATATTCTATAACATGAAACATGGTCACATTTCCAGCCCCACCACTATCTCCCTCCCCCACCTACCTGAGTCACAGGGTTCCTCTCACCGCAGGCCCCTGTCACAATTTGAATTCATTGTGGCTGTGTGTAGCTCTGCCTGCACAGCCACATCATCCATTCACAGATCCTAGTCCATTGTATTATTATTATTATTATTATACAGGATTTGTATAGAACCAACAGTTTGTGCAGCACTTTACAGTTCATTCATTCTGCTTCCTATTAATGTTACTGAATGTCTGTGCCCCGATACAGACAGGGCTGGGAGGAGGAGTCTACAGCAACCAGGACATTGAACCCACAATCCACTGTTTACAGGCGCAATGCTTTACTGGCTCCAATGGAAAAAAATAATATTAAAATAATAATTCATTAAAGAAAAATAAATATTTTTCTTTAATGAATGTGTGTGCATTTATTTATTTATTTTTCTAAAAGGTGGACTTTACCTTTAAGCTCAGCTGGCCTTTGGTTTTGTGCCTGCCATAAAGTGTAATGGAGAAGCCTTCTACTAATTAGATTGGACCTAGAGGCCGTTCTATTACAGTCTATAGCAGACAGTGGTGCAGGCATCGTACCCAAGCTTACCAAAGAGCTGATACATTGATGGAGCAGGCTGCAGAGTTGTGCAGAGGAGAACACGCAGATCTCACTACATGCAAATCTTAACTTTTCCTGCAAATGTAAAAATTGGCTGAGCCGGCCCTGCCACCTTCCAAACGTTCCTATTAGACCGATGTGAATGTGCACTATATAAAGTGCTGTGTAAATTGTTGCCGCTTTCTAAATACCAGTAATAAATAAATAAATAAATGGGTCTCTTGGGCTTCCAGTTATATGGAGGAGCCAAAAGGAAGGTTTGAGTGGCAGGAGGGGTAGGACTAAACTTGGGTTATACAGAAGAAGTTGACATTTGCATATCATTTCAGCAGCCTTTGTATCTGGATCTAATGTTTTTAACATGAAGTTCATACTGAAGACAACATTTGATTACATATTCCTTATCATATATCTTTTATATCAGGTTATTTTACAAAACCATCAAGTGACTCAACTGACCAGCAGCCACATGATCTTTGAACATCAGTGGAGGAGTGGTTAGCACTTCTGTCTTTCAGCACTGAGGGTCCCTAGTTCAAATCCCAGTCAGGACACAATCTGCAAAGTGTTTGCATGTTCTTTCTGTATTTGCGTGGGTTTCTTCCAGGCTCTCCAGTTTCTTCCCACACAGACATGCTGTTGGTTTAATTGGCTCCTGTCTAAATTGGCCCTTTTATGGATGCATGTGAGATAGGGACCTTAGATTGTAAGTTCCCTGAGGGCAGGGATTGATGTGAATGTGCAACTGTGTAAAGGGCAGTGTAAATTGTTGGCTTTATATAAATACCTGTAATAAGTAATAAAAGCAGAAGTAATATAAATAATGAAAAGCAGCATTTATAAGTAAATGTTGAGAGTCCCAGCAAAGCTGGAGTTAGGCTATAAAAGTTGTTTTAAAACAATGCCATGGGCCCATAAGAGCAATGTTTGCGTTCGGCCACGTATGTTTTAAAGGCCTTCTTGGATATAAGGTTCCTCCATTCCAGCTCTCAGGATGACAAACAGGATGGCAATACACCATGACGAAAGCTGGGCCATTGCTGTGTCTCATAAACAGCTATTGCCTATCCTCATCTGAAGGTTGTTTTAGTATGAAAGCAGCCTGTGTATATAAAATAAGTGGCAATCCAGAAACAAGTAGAAGGGACGAGTAGCTGTGCAATTTATGACAGCAGACATTACATTTAACCTGCAGTAAACTATCCACATTATGGAATATATGGCTACAAAGAATGCCTTTCTGCTTTATGAGGATGCCCTTAATCCATCATTACAAATTATTTTCAAGAAAATACATTGGCAATCCAGTAAAGTGAATATAGTTGGTGAGTATTTTAGAACCCGTAAATAACAGTCTAAAATAACAGAGTAAAAGCAAGGGAATCCATCATCACTAGAAAGGTCAAGAGACAGCAGATTAACCTGTATGCACCGTAAAATGGTCCACTCATTCAACCAATAACACTTTCCTCAGACTTCTTCCTCCAACATCCCTTCCTATGCAACAGTGAAAACTCCATGACACTGTTGTTCTTAGATTGTGACACACTACATACAGGAACAAACAAAAAGTTGCCTTGCTGCACTCCTTACCGGAAACCTCAATTCAACACGGGGGGTGCTTGTAATAACTGCAGATGGCACCACCAGAAAATATCAGTAGATGGATGTCACCAGCACACCAAAAATATTGCAATGCGTTTGTTTATTTAAAACGTCATGTTGTCAGAACTAGTGCTTTTCGGGGGCCGCGCAGGGTCCCCTTCATCAGGCTTCTGATGAGCCTTGATGAAGGGGACCCTGCACGGCCCTGAAAGCGCTGCACGGCTCTGCAACATTTTTGGTGTGCTGGTGACATCCATCTACTGATACTACATACAGTTCTCTGTTCATGATATATGTGCTTACTCAACTTGTACACATCCACACCATTTTTACTTCATTGCTTTGGAAATTAAAAGCTGGACTGACTAAGATTATAAAAGTAATCCTTTCCAGCTGGTGGCGTTGCCTGCAAGTCATTATGGTCAGGGCCAGATCAACATAAGGGCTTCTGTTGCGCCAGCTCCGAGCCCACCACTGAAAATAGGTACAGACAGCACTGATTGACCAGGTATTCCCGATGGCAAACCAGGCCAGCCGGGCTGAACACAATCAGGCAGAGGTGCTGGCGCTTCTCTAAACAGGCATAATAGGCAGCCGCCCACTGGAACCTCGCAGGGCACCAGCGAGGAGCGAGCGGCCGCCCAATTAGAGAGCTGCCCCGCTGCTTCCCATGCGACCGACCAACAGCACTAGGACCATAATCTTCTTAATCTGATTATGTCAGAACTGTGTTTCTCACCATACAAGTCAATGAGAACTGGGAAGGCGAAAGCAACATGAAACAAGTCGATGCAGTTCAGAAGGACAAGAGGAAGTCAACTGCAGGTCAAATGCAACTGTCAATGAACCTTGAATGATCTCAGAAGCACCTCAAATATATGTCAAATGTCAAAAGCGAATTGTACCTGAAAGCAAGCTGCATTTGCCAATCCTTCCAAGCCCAAAGTGTGTCGACCCTACCAATTACAAAAATCTGCTGACCGGTATAAAATGATGAAATAATCAAAAAAATATTCATCAACGAGTAGGGATTAGAAACATTTATTCCAAAAAACAAGCAAAATGTATTGGACCATTTATACCTGGTTTTTCATAAGCTTTCACCTCATAAATCTACCTGCATTCTCTTTGCAGGAGCAACCTATCGATATCGCCTCCCCATATACTTTCATGAACGCGATCGAGAATAAAGAAGCAGAGCTTATCTACATTACCATTATGATACTGAACAAAATGTCTCGCAATGGGGGGATATCATATTTTCACCTAGATGATCTTAAACTCCTATTTACAGGGCTATTTACAAAAGGGTGAAGAGTTTGGAGAAGGCAGGAGAAGTAAACAATCTAGGACAACATAGCTGACCTGGAAAGTGAGCTGAATTGGAGAATTTTTCCAAATCAGCTATTTTGTCCTAGATTGTTCACTTCTCCTGCCTTCTCCAAACTCTTCACCCTTTTGTGAATAACCCTGTTAATCTTTGTTTGGTTTTGCCAAGGAGCCGTGAAAAATGCAAGCATACATGAAGTATGAATAATGCACTTTTCCCAATGTGTACTGGTCTGTTATATAAATGTTGAGTGCGTTTGTCGTTTGTTTTGCTTGACCGATTTTGTGCAGCGACGCATGGGGTTTATCTGTTATAGAAGATAACACACTTGCTTATGAATTTTAACTAAGAGAGATCAAACGGACTATGTGAATATGACAGGTTGTCAGGAGCGATCCGAGTCCCTGAATATTTTTGATACCAGGGCAATCTTTTAATGGTTTTTAATATTCTTTATCTAAAACATATATAGTTATTTGTAGAGTTTTTTTTTATTGGGGGGAAAGCACATATACTGGAAAATTATGTTTAAATAATTTTTGTTGGCTTGTATTACTGTCTCCTTGGAGATATCCATAATTTTGAGGTCTATATTTCTTTATTTGAATATTTGTGCAAGGAGTCCTTGGAGGTAGCATTGCAGCTATATTTGGTTTTCACACACTAAGTGCCCTCTTTTTCTTGTGTATAATAAAATGCTGAAACCTAGAGCTACCTGAGCATACCTACAGCAGCTTTTAGTCTTCCTGCTTCACCTGAATGCCAGGCTGGTCTGACTGGGCAAAGCTTCACTACATCTTGGTAATGTTGAACCTTGCCTGACCCTCCTTCGCATCTCCCAGGTTGACCAAGGAGGCTTATTGACCAAGGAGGCATCTAGGTGCCTGCCATTTGAACCTGTCAGAAGCTTTTTTTTTGTCTGAGTGAAAATTTGAAAAAGCTACAAGTGCCGGATGCACAAGCTCTCTGGGTCTATCAAGAGAGAATTTCCTGACAAAGCATTGGCTCCCTTCCAGAAGTATGCGGGATGAATTTTACATGACAAAATAGATAATGTTCCCCGGAGCCCAGGAGGAATAACAGGGAGCACCAGCTATAAGATATAGTTATCTGTATGTAGATATGTGCTAGTACAAGATTCCTGCAAACACCGAGCTCAGAAATGTAATACTTTTCGAGTCACTGGTCTGGAAAAGGTATGCAGATTAGGAATGTCACAGTAAAGTAAAAACGTATCTGCATGCAAGTTATTGTCAGTTTCTGAGAGTGTGGGAGCCAGATTGTCAGCATGGCAAAGCCTGGAAACTAGATTCTGAAAAGGAGAGGTCAGCTCTGACAGACCCCCCATGGTTCTCTCATGACAGGTTCCTTTTAAAATACTGTAGTTACTAGACATTTAAGAAGAAAAAAAACTTACAAGTATTTTAGGTTCGGTAGGTTGGCAAATGCTCCTTGTCCAATATAGACCAGATTTTTTGTGTTACGGATAACTCTGCAAAAAGAGAAACTGAAGTTTAATCTGCTTATATTATTCTTCTTTGCCCCCCCCCCCCCAATCTA